ACTGGGCAGAGGTGCTTGGCATCGGAGGGGGAAGGGCCTAAGTCCTGCCCACAACCCCGGCCACAACCCCGACAACCCTCCGCTGCACCATGCACTGGACGATAGGCAACGGAGCGTGCAGCAAAAAAAACGACTTCGTGGAAACGGAAATTACACAGACGCGGGCACCAATATTCAAAGCGAGCTCCTCAATCCACCAATTGAAATTATGAGGGCATCTTTTGGTGCCGAGCACACATCCAGTAGGTACCTGGTAGGTAGACATATCTCCTGGGGGGGGGCAACGAAGTGTTGGGGTGGGGGGGGCAACGCGACCCCCTCCGGTACTGGCATGCACCCAACGCGCCCGACGGACAACGGCACGTCCTGAGAGGCCGCAGCACGTTTCAAGCTTGCTACTGATCATACCCTTGCGCCTTATGAACCTCGACAGCTCCGCATGTCCGTCTATAGTTGCACCAATATGTTCCTGGCTAAACTGCGGCATAACGGCCATGATGTTCGATAGACACGCACGCGAGCCGTGCTTCAAGTGCTTCAGGAGACGCGGCCTGCTATGGAACGGTAAACAACAAACCTTGCACTGTGTGCCAAGTGCAAGTCCAAGTCCAAGCAGCAGCCTTGCAACTGTAAGCAGCAAGCCTTGCAACAAGCACGGCCCAGGCCGCCTTGGCGCCGCACTCATGGCGCGGCCAGCTGATGGGAAGGGGGAGGACCACTCAGCGCGGCAGGGGATGCCCAGAGAGGGCGCAAACATCACGCACCTCGTCACACAAAACACGAATGCGCACGTTGTCAATTTCAACCTGCATGCTAGCTCTCCCTGCTTCCTTGCGCAGCCGCGTCCAACATCTGACACCACGTTCCCTGGCTAGGGCTAGCCGCCAACACGGCGGTCCAGTCGGCCTGAGCTCCTTTGGCAGTCTGACGTGGTCAGCTAGCCAGTGAATGCCCTCAACCAGCATGCTGGTCCAGGAATCTCCTAAAGTAGGAACTTCATCTATAAGAACAAGACACCCGATGGGCAGCACTTTCAGAATTCCCGTCACCAGTCTGGGCCTACGCATCCTGATGACAAAGTGTACTGGCACCTGCCTGACACGCTCGGGCAACTTGTGTCTCGCAACATGTTGCTTAGCCGGCCCGCTGAACCGACGACCCGTGGCCTCGCGGACAGGTGCCAGTAAATGATTATCGAGCTGCGTCTCCGGATTGGCCCTTAGTCGTGGCCAATACGCACGGGCACACCAGAAGTGTTCCGTGCAAAACTTGTGCACATATGTGAGCTGCCTTGCGTCACTTAGCATGCGACTCTGAAAGACGATGCGCCTCAGACCACCCAGGGGCCTCTGGAGCTGGTGACACCTGTGGGATGTGGGGGGGGTCCTCGGGGCCCATGCACGAGGTCTGGTCGAGGTATCCTCCCAGGTACCAAGTATGGTGGCGAGTGCGAAGACGACCCCAACATTGCCGACCTGGAGCCCATTGGGGGGCACACATGCAGAGTCCACGTTGGCCTTCCTGGAGCCCTCACTGGTGAAGAGAGGGATGAGCTCAGACTTGCTCTTCTTGTAGGTAGCCACGACGCCCCCCGGCGTTAGCCTCCCTCCACATGCTCAACAGGGAGCGATGGTAGAAGCCACTTGGCGCCACTTGGCGGCCAGCCCGAGCTCCTCAAGGGTAACCAAGACGTCCACGCAGGAAGGGCCCCAACGAAACGCCTCGACCTCCGGGTCCATCTTGTCAAAAAACTTCCCAACCTTCGGGTTCCAGATGCTGGCCTCCCGGAAGAGACCCATGTCCTGTAGCCTCGGATCGATGACCTGCTAGCTTGGGGGAGAAGGCACTTTCGAAGAGGTAACAGGCTAGCGGCATGCCTGGCCCCGTACCTCCTCCAGGCTACACTATCTTCTTCGAGCCCTGCACTTGGAACCATGTCGCTTTCGTCGTACCAACTGTAGACAGCAGGAGATGCGTGTATTCGATATCACCCAAAGACCCAGGTTTGGTCATGAGCTTCCTACACAGGGGCTGGAGTGCATGGGGAATCTCGAGCGTGTCCAGCATGGAATCCAACACTTGATCGCGATGGGCCAATCATGAAACAAAACCTTCAACTACGTAATAGAAGGCTGGCCGTAGGTCCGCGGAAAGCATCAAAAGTATTATGGCCCTCTTTCTTGCTACTGCTGCTGCCGTGCCAATCATAAACGTCGCAAGGTCAGCCCCTCGCCGTGCAAGACCCCCATCTGGACGCCATTGATGAGAGAGCTGGTGCTTCAACGAGCCTCTGTCTCAGAAGCTGATGATGTATGCTTGCCCAGAAGACGCCAAGCATGATGACTCTGTAATTAGTGATGGGCCCATTCGGCCCCGATTTGAACAAGTCGACCTGCCAGCCACCTTTGAATCCAAGCGGTTCATGGGCGACCAGCATTGTCTTGGTGTACAGTGGCGGCAAGATGTTGGCACAATCCTGCGCAGCAACCCTAAGCAAGCCCATGGAGGCGCCATCAGGCCCACTGGCCTTGTTGGCAGCATTTGGCAGCAAACATCGTGATATAACACAAGAGCTCACGGGAAGCCACAAGCAGATAATTGTTACGCTGCCTCGCCTCGACATCAACCATCACACGTTCGTTGTACATGCCAACTACAAGCGCCCAATCCACGTCGTCTGCTTTCTCCAGTCCAGCAAAACATGTCTCAGCGCCGGCGCCATATGATTTCTATTCTCGATGGTGCTGCCGTCATGGTCGAAGCGCATCTGTAGTCCCTATGGGCCTGTGCTTGTTTCTTGTGCCATCCGAAAGTCTGGAGTTTGCGTAGTACCTCCCAACTCTAACTTGGTCAAGCCTGTCTGTATGGCAGAGTTCAGCTGACCAGCAAAATCCTCAAGCAACTGGACCTAAGATGCCTTAAGCAATATACGGTGGACAGTCCTAGTGTTGGCTATGAAATCCTGGCCGCCTGGATGACGCCTGGGATCGTCACTGCACCTATCCACCTTCTTTCCACGACCTCCAAGAACTCGGAAGCACGAAACTCCCACTGCGTTGTGTGTTGCGTGTTTCCGAGTTCAGTGCTTCAAAAAACTCTTAAGTAGGAGATTCGAGTTTCCGAGTTCCTCATCTTCCTCCTCTTCCCCCCCTCCTCCCTCCTCCCTCCTCCCTTCTCCCTCATCGCTCCTCCCTCCTCCCTCCTCCCTCCTCCTCCTCTTCCTCCTCCTCCTCCTCTTTCTTCTCCCTCCTCCTCCTCCTCCTCCTCTTCCTCCTCCCTCCTCCTCCTCCTCCTCCTCCTCCTCCTCCTCCTCCTCCTCCTCCTCCGCTCCCACTACCTGCACCACCTGTAGAATTTACGACGTGCTGAATTGTGAAGTGCGGCTGTGCAAGATGCACCGCGAAAGTGCCCTAAAGCGTATACACCACTACCGCCCTCTCTGAATCCCTTTCGAGCTGATGGTGCTGGCACTTCTCATCCTCCCTCCACCCTTCCTCACCCTCTCTGACGCCTCGTGCGCCCTCCCCCTCTCCTATTTCTCCTCTGGGCACCCCGCGCCCCTCATTCTCCTCCGGCTCCTCCTTCTCCTCCTCCTCTTCCACCTCCTGCTTCTCCTCCTCCTCCTCTTCCTCCTCCTCCTCCCTCCATCATCATCATCACCACCATCGTTCATCCCTCCCTCCCCCTCTTCTCCCCCCCGCGCTCATTCAACTCATTCCCCCTCCTGGCCCATCCTCCTGCTCGAGCCACTCCTCCTCACCCTGCTCCTCCTCCTCCTCCTCCTTCTGCTCCAGCTCCGCCCCCTCCTCCTTCTCCTCCTCGTCCCACTCCTCCTCCTACTCTCCTCCCCAGCTTCCCCTTATACTCTTTTGCCAGTCGCGCCAGTGTCCACGAGTCTCGTCGGCGTCCCCCCGAGCGAGTCCAAGAAGAGCGGCGATTCCGCCTTCTCGTACCTCGGGGAGGAGAATGGAAAGGAGACGAGAAGGAGGAGGGATGAAGAGGACAGATAGGGAGAAGAAGGAGAGATTAGAATGGAGGGGGAGAGAATGTGGGAGGAGGAGCTTGGCGAAAAGGCCATCCAAGGAGGAGAGGAAGAATCCTCCGCTTGCTGGGAGCGCATTGTCCCCCTCTTTCTCCGCCTTCTCCTCCTCCTCCTCCTCTTACTCCTTTTTCTCCTCCCTCTCTCATTATCCTCCTCCTCCTCCTTTCCTTCCTCCTCCCTCCCTCCTCTTCGCCGAAGCTGGTGCAGGTGATCACGGCTCGAATCATCAAATGAGCCTGGCGCGAGCCCAATTAGAGGAACGCTTCGTCAGCGGCATTGCTTGGAATTGCTTGGCACTGCATTGCTTTGCTTGACAACGCATTGATTGTCAGTGCTTGCCGTTGCTTGGCATTGCTCGGAATTGCTCAGCGTTGCTTGGCATTGCATGGCATGTCTTTGCATTGCTTGGCATTGCTCGGCATTGTTTGATCTTCCTTGGAATTGCTTGCCATTGCAAAACAAACAACGCCAAGCAACTCCGTGGAGCGCCACTGTGAAGAAACAACACCGGGGGACCCTGGGGAACGCCGTGTTGAAGAGACAAAGAAGACCAGGGAACCCCTGGGAACGCCACTGCAAAGAAGCAAGACCAGGGAACCCTGAGGAACACCGCCACAGAAAACAAAACCAGGGACCCCCCGAGGGAACCCCTTGTAAGGAAGCAAGACTGGAGGGGTCCCCAAGAACGCCGGGGCCAGCCGCACTTGGCACCCACCGGCTGTTCACAAACAGATAATATAGACAAAACCCCTTGGGGGGAATACCGCCCTCGGCAGCGAGCATTACACTCGCAGGAAGAGGTTTGTGACTCCTCCTCCTCCTCCTCCTTCGGGAGGCAAGAGTGGGGAAACGAGATAAGAGGAGATAGGAGGCGGGAGGAGGTAGGAAGAACGGGGTAGGAGGGGGAGGAGGAGGAGAAGCAGGATGAGAGCAGGACGAGGAGGAGCAGGAGGACGAGGACGCCATCATGGAGAGAGACAGGAAGGCGGAGGGAGGACGAGGTGGTCCAGAGCAGACCAGGCACACAAAGCCGATGCTGCTTCGACGGCGCTGACGACGACGGCAACAACGACAACGCTTGGCATGAAACAAACGAGTCCTGAGGGAAACTGGTCCTGGACCCCAGGGCTTTCCCACTGGAGCAGTTTGCCGTCCTGAGCCCCTTCCTTACCATCCTGGGGCCCGTGGAGTGCCCCCGGAGCCCTCAAAATCGGCCCCCATCTCCCAAGAAGCCCAAAGAGCCAGACATCCTTACCCGTTCATCCTTAGCAGCGCTTCGCTAGAGGACTTTTAGAAAAGCCCAGACAAACCACAGAAGGGCCCACGGGGGAGACGGGAGGCCAAAGGACGTCCTGTCCAGCAACCGTTTCAACCTGAGACATCCTCACAATTCATTCACGAGTCGCACTCTCGCACCAATACAGGATACAGTTTGGCGGCGCGCACAAGGGGGTAGGGGGAGGGGGGAAGGCTTCTTAGAAGGAGCCTGCTTCTTAGAAGGCGCCGGCCTTGCATGTACAGGGAAGGCCCGCACCTTCTAAGAAGCAGGGGTGTTTCAAAGAAGCCTTCCTCCCTCACCCTAATTACCCCCGTCTGCGCGTGGCCAAATATTTCTGGTCTGGACACCTCTGAACCCAAAAACAAGTTTCCGGAACAACTCAATCAGAGCGGATCCTGTTGCGGCGACGACAAAGCGCCCATGAGGCCCAGAGAGGCAGAACAGCACGCCAGGAAGCCCGGCCGCTGCCTCGGCGGGCCCTCCTCCGAGCGTCCTGCGGCGTCGGCGCTGGCGGTCGCAGGAGAGACGACGGCATGCACAAGCGCTGCGGAACTTTTAGACAGCGTGTCGCGGCGACGGCCTCAGAAACGCCGCGCCGCTTCTCCTCTACGCGTCCAAAGTGGACGACGCCGACACCACGGAAAACCCACGGCAAGCCCTGCGCCCGATGGGGCGTTCGCCCTGGTGGCCGCGGTGCCCTCCTCAAGGCGGAAGGCCGCGCGTCGGAACAAACAGCGCGCCGACCTATGCCTTGCAAGCGGATGGCGTGTCGCTCCGCTCGGCTGGGCGGGAGGCTCGAAAATGCTCGGGACATTGGCGCTTGGACCTGGGGACGTGGATAGCGCGTCGCGCCGAAGCGTGGTGGGCCAGAACAGGCGGAGCGATACGCTAGGCGAAAGTTTCCGACCGAAGACTTTGCAAGGTCCGCACAGATTTCTTGGATCTGGGCTGCACCCCCCCCCGCCGGTGGCGCCTCCAGCGCGGCCCCTGGCGCGCCAGGAAGGGGAGCGTGGCGGCGATCCAAGAAATCCGCGCGGACCTTCGAGGGTTTGTGTGTGTATGCCCTGTTCTCCGTCGAGACGCAGGAGAGGCCCTGCGCAGGGGGGACTTTTGGTGAGGCGCCGTTCGGGGGCCGCGAGAGGGGCCAGATCCAAGCGCGCAGGCCAGTACTGAGAGGACCCCCGTGGGCCCGCACAAAAAGTCACACCGGCGAAGGGACATTCTCACGTGCAGCCGACGACGACGACGACGACGACGACGACGACGACGACGACGACGACGACGAGGCACTCGTCGGTGGCCTCGCCAGCGCTCCGGATGCCAAAGCGGCACAGCGTCGGGCCGACCAGCTGGTTGAGCACTACGCACCCCGTGACGATCGCGGCAGCGCCGCGGGCCCACGGCCTCTTCCCACCCCGCCGTCGCCGCTCTGGAGCGAAGAAGAAGGGAGCAGGGGGAAGACGAGGAGGAGGAGGAGGAGGAGGAAGACGAGGAGGAGGAGGAGGAGGAGGAGGAGGAGCCGAGGACAAGGAGGAGGAGAAGGACAGGACGAGGAGGAGGACGACGACGGGGGAGAGGAGGAGGACGACGACGGGGGAGGAGGAGGAGAAGGAGGAGGAGGACGAGGAGGACGAGGACGAGGACGACGGGGGATTGAGGACGAGGACGAGCACGAACAGGAGGAGAGGAGAAGGAGAGGGATGAGGACGAGGAGGAGGAGAGGACGGAGGCAGATTAATGGTCGAACAACGGCATGAGCATTCTCAGCCGCCTTATTGAGAAGAGCGTCTCCAGTGGCGGAAAGAATATATGGCATACCGATCTTCGCCTGCTAAAGGAAGGAGGAGGGAGGAGCACGAGGAGGAAATGGAGGAGGGGGGAGGAGGGTGGAGGATGGGGAGGAGGAGTCGTTTCCCCTCTCCTCCCTCCCCTCGCTTCGCCTCCCTCCCCTTCCTCCCCTTTCCCCCTGTCCCCGCCCCTGAATGGACCTACGTAGCTGGTGAGCCGTCAACCTTCCCGTTTTGCAGTTGCGCGTCGGCGGTTCATCGAATGCCGAGGCGCGCCTCAGATCACCGAGGAGGATTTTGCTGGATTCTGATGGCCTGACCTCCGAAGCCGCGAGACGCGCGGAGCGGCGGCGAAACGGGCGCACCCCGGCCCCCGGGCCCGTCCTCGGCGACCAGGCTGGACCTTCGGAGGCGCAGCGGACGACGCGCGGCCTCCTCCTCCTCCTCCTCCTCCTCCTCCTCCTCCTCCTCCTCCTCCTCCTCCTCCTCCCCCTCCTCCTCCTCCTCCTCCTCCTCCTCCTCCTCCTCCTCCTCCTCCTCCTCCTCCTCCTCCTCCTCCTCCTCCTCCTCCTCCTCCTCCCCTGCCCCGTGCCGCTTCTCGTCGCGTGGCGACGACAGGGCCGAGCCGCGGCGACCCCCCCCGGGGGGGTGGTCTTGGCCCACCCGTGGAGCCGCGTCCCTCGGCAGCACAGCCCTCTGCGGCGGGCGGCCCGCGGAGCGCCCTGGCGCACTCCGCCGCCTGCCATCCCCGAGGAGGAGGAGGAGGACGAGGAGGAGGAGGAGGAGGAGGAGGAGGAGGAGGGGGAGGAGGAGGAGGAGGAGGAGGAGGAGGAGGAGGAGGAGGAGGAGTAGGAGGAGGAGGAGGAGGAGGAGGAGGAGACAAGGGGGAGGACGAGGAGAGGAAAAGGAGGAGGAGGAGGAGGAAGAGGAGGAGGACGAGGAGGAGGAAAAGGAGGAGAGGAGGAGGAGGAGGAGGAGGAGGAGGAGGAGGAGGAGGGGGGGGGAGGGATTCAGGGAGGGAGGGAGGGGGAGGTGGAAGCGAGGAGGAGGGGCGCGGGAGCACATAAGGACCAGGAGGAGGGAGGAGAAAGAAAGGATGAGGAGAACAAGGAAAAGGAGGAGGGGGAAAGAGAAGGAGGAGGGAAATGGTGGCAGCCCAACTGGCCGACTCGGAAAACCCTGGATCCCGAAACGTTGACGTCTTGCTCTCACTTCCGCTGGACCTGCTGCTCGCCTCCCGCCGAGGGCGCGGATGCGCCGAAGGCGAAGCCCTGTATGGAGCGCCTCAAATGGAACCCGAGCAGGTGAGCCCGAAGGACCGCAGCAAATTGCAAATGCATCGGCGACACACCATCGACGTCAGGATCGACCAAATCGGGCTCCGGATCACGCATCATCGTCGACGCATCGGCGATGCGGCGCCACCTCCCCCTTCCCTGCCCCCATCCCCTCCGTTGGCCGACCAGCCCGATTTGCATCTGCGCCACGAGCCCGAGGGTCACCCCAGACTGGCTCTGCAGCGTCATCCAGACGTGCCGCTTCACCCGGTCGTCCTGCCGCGTGAAGGCCGACGCCGAGAAGCTCCCCAGGGCCAGCGCGGCGAAACGCAGCAGGAAGAGCAGCGGCACGGCCGCCGCGTGCTCCATGATGGCCCCGAGCTCCAGGGAGGCCCCGGCCACAGTGAAGAAGGGCGGCATGACTACGGGCGCGAGCCCGCTCAGCACCTCGCGCAGTTGCTGCCGCCGGTCCGTCCTGGTGGGCTTGTTTTCCACCACCACCACCACCATAAGTGGGAGGGGGAGGGGGTCTTCCTGCCCTTCCTCCTCCTCTTCCATTTCCTCCTCCTCCTCTTCGTCCTCCTCCTCCTCCTCCTCCTCCTCCTCCTCCTCATTCTCCACCGCCTTCCCCCCTCCAACTTGTGGTGGTGGTGGTGGTGGGAAACAGGCCCACGATCCTGTGGATCAAGAAGCTGGCGCTGATCATGCAGACGAGCAGCGGGTCCACCCGCAGGAGCTGCAGGTCGGGAGACACCAAAGGAGCAGACAATAGCGCAAGCACACGGGCTTTCGGAGGTCCGCGCGGGCTCCTCCGGCATCGGCGCTGGACTCCCGGCCTCCCTGGCGCGCGGAGCGCGTCAGAGGCGGCGCCGGAGGTGCCGCCAAGGAGGCCAAGCGCCGATCCGAGAGATCCGTGCGGACCTCCGACAGTCAGTGGTTACGCGTTTCTTCTCCCTCGGGGATATCATTGGGATCACCGTGTTCAGCTTCAGCATGGCCTGGTAGGCTGCCCCAGCCGTCGCTACCACCAGCCCCGACCTGGCTGCGCTGGCCCAGCCTGTGGCTGCGGCTGCGCCAGCATACCACCCGGGCGAGGGGATCAGCAATATCAGCCATATCGCGCAGCCCAGCGCCACTCCTAGCAAGACCCAAAGGAATATGCTGCTGAACACCATGCCGACCGAGAAGACGATGTTCCAACTGGAGCCACCTATAGGCTTCGAATCGTCCTCCAGGGGGCAGGCAGCGACGACAACGTTCTGAGTGATGGCAAAAAACACCAGGACGACCATGTCCAGAAGCATGGTCGTCCCTATCATCAGCTGCGTCACGGGGCCAGGCGGGCGCCCCTCGAGCGCAGCCTGACCCTGCGTCTCGTAGTAGATGCCGAGGACCTCGATGACGGATCCCGCCCACTGTACAACTGCCACCATGAGAGCCGCAGACCTCTGAGGGGCAACGCCAGAGGGGGACCAGCTCAGGTCGGGGAAAGAGCGACCTGGAACCAGGAATACATCACAGACGGATCGGCGATAGGCTCCGGATAGCCAATCCGCACGGTCCTGGACGGGGTGGGCCATCGGGCCCCTGTCGGCGATCAGTGGGCGATCGGGGGGCGATGCGTACCACCCCCAAGCCAATCCCCCTCTAATGTTGCCCCTGAAGACCACTGGCACCAAATTCCCTGGTCCAAGAGGCTCGCTGGCATTACAGCGCTCATCGCGTAGATGGCGGGGGTGCCGACAAACACCATGAGCACGCCCATGAACACGATCTGGGAGAGGATCTGTCTCACGCGATCGTCGTCGAGCGCGAAGAAATCCAGCTCGGCACCTGCGCTCATGGCGATGAACGCGAGGGAGAGGTGGCTCACCACGGAGGCCACCGAGAAGTCTCCGTGGAGCGTCTCTGGGTAGAGCATGCCCGTAACGTAGTCGCTGCACACGAAGCCTACGGCCGTGGTCGCTCGGCCCGACTCGGCCACTACTTATGCGAGGTGAGGGCTTACCCATAAGCACAGCCTGGGCGATCGAACTCCGGAGGCCTCGGTTGGCGGCGGATGTGGATGTATCTGGCCCCCGCGGGGCACGAACGTAGCCATGTCCATTGCCAGCCGAGGCCTCGTAGGCTCGATCCCGGAGGCGGTGGCTGCACATAAATCCCTGCCTTGGGGCCACGGGGGGGGGGCAGGAACAGCGGAGCAGGCCCTTCCCGCCAAAGACCGAGCAAGTGGTCACAACGATGGTTTGTCTTCGCTTCGGGTGCTTCGCCGCCGCGGAGGGTGCCACGGTCGTTCCTGACCCCCCCCCCGCGGCCCAAGCCCCTGATGGGAGGCCGAGCGCCCGGCGGGCCTATGAACATGTAGCCGACCATCATGGGCAGCTGGACGACATTCGGGAACTGGGCCCCGATCTTCCAGCTTCCCGCCCAGGCGACCTGCGACGCCGCCGTTGCCAAGGGCGCACGCGAACGTGGACCACGAGTCCGTGGATCTGGCGCGTGGGCGTCAGACCCACGGATCGGAGCGAAACATCAAGCCGGCGCCGCCGGCTTTGGCGACGGAGCGCGCCGAGTCTGCATGGAGACGTGGCCCCTCGCTAACCCACGCGCCTCTATCCAAGTCTGCGCACTCCCCGAGCTGCACCCACAAATCGCCCCCCCTTGGCCTCCACCGCGGCTCCCTCGCCTCCATCGTCCTCGCCGCACGCATTGGGGCGATCATTTGGCGGTGCGCAAAAGGGGGTAGAGGGAGGGGGGAAGGCTTCTCAGAAGGAGGCTGCTTCTTAGAAGGCGCCAGCCCTTACATCTATAGATAAGGCCCGCGCCTTCTAAGAAGCAGGGGTGATTCTAAGAAGCCCTCCCCCCTCCCCCCACCCCCCTCTGCGCGTGGCTGAATCATGTCTCCGTCGCAGCACGGCAGAGGCAAAATGTGCACGGGTGCTCGCAGTGGCCGGGGACCACAGGACCATCACGCACTGCCCCCATGCAAGAGGAGGGGGGACGCGGCACGGCAGGGCGGCCGAGGCGGGAGCAGAAAGGGGGGGGTGGGGGGACGCGTGACAGACAGACAGACAGATCCCGCACGGCTACGAAGCCGGTCCTGCACAGGACACGGGAGGAAAAATATCTTGCAAAGCTCACATGTAACACGCCGAGACACAACGACCACACACAAGCACATACAAATACTGACAAACATGCACAGGGGACGCGTGAGCGCGCGAGTAATTAACAAGGACGGGGGCAGGGCCCCAGAGGTGCTGAGCAGGGACCGGCCGTCCCGGCATTCCTACAGGCCTACAGTCGGGGCGTTGACCTAAGCAACCCTAAATAAGGAACGAGGCCCCTTTTTTCCATAAGTTAGATTTCGATTTCCCATCGAAAACATAAGGAAAACCTGAGGCAAGCTGCGAAACACTCAAGGAGCGCGAAGCCCCTCCCCAACCAAAAGGGTTCCTTCTTCAGGGCCCCGGCTGTACCACGACATGTTCTTAGAACCCAACAATGTTCTAAGAACAAGAGCAATGCTCTGAGTAGAAGCCGAAGCGTTAAAACTAAGACAGTCTCGGCCTGACATGTTCTAATTAAGAGCATTTCGTGCGGATCACAAAAGGTTTTTAGAACATCCTTTGGTAGGCCTCAAGGCGAGCTAGGACGCTTCGCCACTGTTTGAAGGTGGGGAGGGGGGGGCATCGGAATCTGGGCCGAAGCCCTGGCCACCCGACCTTGCGAACCGCGCCGCGGCGCGAAACACCCGACCCGCTCACCCTCGCGCCCCCCCCGCTGGCCCCCCGCCTCCACCGGAGGAAATGTGCCCTCCCCCTCCCTCAAGACGAAGCCATGGCGCGAGGATGGGATCGGGTGGGGATGCGTCGGGATTCTCTGAGATCCGGCGGTTCTGGAGAGTGTCTCGGGCGCGTTCCAGAACGCTCTCAGAGCGTTCCAAAACGCTCTGTAACGCACTTCTCCTCGTTCTGGCCCCGCCGGAGCCCTACCAAATCCGCTCAGCAACGGTCCCCCGAATCCTGCCCGAGTCCGTCCTGGCCAGCTTGGAAGGCTGCACCCAGCCGTGGCCACGAGGAGCCCTCCGGATTGACCAGACAGGCACCTGCCGC